TAGCGAGCTGCAAAGAAAGTGATGCGATATCTACAAGGGACAAATGATTACATGCTGACATACAAAAGATCAAATCTTTTTGAAGTGGTTGGATATTCTGATTCTGATTTTGGAGGATGCATTAACTCTAGAAAGTCAACATCAGGATGTGTATTCCTCTTTGTAGGAGGAGCTATCTTGTGGAAAAGATTAAAACAGAAATCAATCACTTCCTCTACTATGGAGGCAGAGTACGTAACATATCATAAGGCTATAGGACATGCCTTATGGTTACGGAATTTTATTACAGGTCTTAAAATTGTGAATTCCATCTCTATGCCATTGAGAATCTATTGTGATAATTCTGTTGCGGTTCGTTTTTGTATCAACAATGCAAGTGGGAGTTCAAATAGGTGGATTGACATAAAGTTCCTTGTTGTTAAAGAAAAGGTTCAGAATCATCAAGTGTTAGTAGATTACATAGGAACAAGGTCAATGGTCGCAGATCCTATGACAAAGGGTTTGCCACCCAAATTGTAGAAGGAACATGTAGGACATATGTGGTTTATTGATATGTCTTGTGTTTGATTTAGTAAGACACTTTAAAGTTTGCAATTGCATTTATGTTCTGATGATTCTTAGTATCTATTTGTCATTTTTAAAGAAGTATACATAAAGTTTATAAATGACAAATTATTCTTTTGGATAATAAAGTAGGACCTCAGAATAGGCTTATGAGAGCTTATTCATACAGATAGTCCATTAGGACAATAAAGTTAATTGACTTCCTTAAATAGTTTTTTGAAATAACTATTTATAACGTATTACCACATAAAGATATTTATCTAAAGAAAGACAGTGATATAGTGATACATGGAAGGTAGCACTCATATGTAAAGTGTGATTTCCGTCATAATTTTATACACTTAAATTCTTTAGATAAAGTTTTAGTTCTCAGACCTATAAGGAAAGTAAGTGTGTCAATATTGGCCAAGTGAGAGAATGTTAGACACATGTATTTATAACATGTGTGTAGCCTATATTGTCATAATACATTCATATTCTAATCTATCGAGTCTGACACATATTGCTGCTCACAACATTAGAATGTTTATGAAAATATTAGATAATACTTACCTCTTGCTGACCGGTGTTAGTAAATGCTAAATCACTTTTGTTAATCATTATATTATGTTATTTTATTTTATTTTTTATGGAACTTTTGGGATATATACTTTGAGACAATGTGTTTGTGTCATTTCAATGTTTGTCTGGAGACATTATAATGTGTTTTCTTTTGTGGAATGCTTGTTATTCGATATATTTTATTTTTTGTGGTTCATTGAATATGTTTCATATTTCACATCTAGATATATTTAGTGATACTAGGAGCTATGTTTCATGTCCAGACATACTAGTGCTGCGTGACTGTTCATGAACTGATTTCATGTCCAGGAGCTATTTTTTTTATTTTTTATTTTTCATGTCTATATGTAAATCATGTGTTTGATCAAAGAATTATTCTTGTATCAGTTAGTAACGGATTCATTTTCTGTAATGTTCACATTCTCTATTTTTTTTTTCAATACAATCAAATAAATTAATTAAGCAGTGGCGAAGAACTGTTGCAGTGGGCCAAATTAAAAACTCATTTGAGATAGGTAATTTTTTTTACATTATATATATATATATATATATATATATATATATATATTACCATATCTTTATGAGACCTGTTCGTTATTTCACAGAAAATTTCTGTTGGTATTGTTACTGAGGCTTTAGAAAAAGGATCGGGAGGGTCCAAAAAGCTGGACTAATGTTTATCATTTCTTTTCTTCTTCTTTTTTTTTTTTTTTTTTTTTTTTTTTTTCCTATGTATTTAAATAAAACCTAAATGTAGGTCATGGGATCGAATTAAAAAAATAGTTTCTTTCTCAAAACAAACGCATGATTGGGTACATTAAACTCTCCAAATCATGTGATTGTAACTAATGGGGCTTTAAAAGGTTTTGAACATGTGCTTTCATGACCCGAATCTTTTTGATATTATATGCATATAGTAGTTAAGCTTTTATGACTCATTATTCTGGCCAATAAATGACCACATCATCTGAAGTCTATAAAAGGAGTGTTTCTAAATTTTATACACATATTCTAAATTTTTTTATTATATATTTTTGGACAACTTAACACAAGACGGTGCATCTTTTATCTCCTTTGGATGTGTTTAAAGATTTTATCTTGGGGGTCTTATAGGAACACTTGTACCCACAGATAGGGAGGGCTTTGGGACTTTAAGACATTCAATCCTCACTATTCAGTTTGAAAATTAGAAAAAATACCATTGGTCACAAGACTCTTGGTAATTAAATTCATAAAGTCTTTACTATAATTGTTTCCGTAAATTAATTTCGTGCTCGTGAAAATTACAGACTAATTAGAGCTGAAAAGGAAGACCAACATTTTGTAAACAATGGATAATCGAATTTTTTTTTACCCTCATATACGAATATATCAAAAGGGTAAAATAAACCCAGCATAAGAATCAGATAAAAAATATAATAGGTATAAATGGGTTGAGTTTTAGCCTCACATAATAACTCAAGTTTTTGGGTCGGATCACGAAACACTTGACCTGTTATACTTCATAACAGAATTAGACTTAGCACTTGATCTAGTACCACGCCAAGCGCTCGGCCCGAAAGAGTCCGGGTGTGCCTTTCTGGATAAGTAAGGTGGTTTGATCGCAACGAGGACATTACGAGTTCAGGTAAGAGAGAATTTTACAAGTAAAAATTGTCCCACATCAGATACGGATGAAAAATGTAATGGGGTATAAAGGGTTATGGGTATAAATGGGTTAGCCCCACTTAATAACTTGAAATTTTTAGTCAAATGGTGAAGCCCTTGATCCGATACACATAACCGCTAATCCATTTGTATTTATAATTTATATATTTTTTCTACTACAAGAAAAGAGTGGATGGTAGATGGGAAGGAGTGTCCTTGTTTCCAAGGAAAACAAAAGCGGCAAATGTGGAAAAAGATGGACATGGGTTAGTCGGGTTGGTATGATTTCTAGATCTCCTAAAAAAAAAATTCTTTGCAGCAGAACTGCAAATGATGATAGAGAAAAATATCATTATTTAATCGGTGCAAAATAATAATAAATTCTAACAAAAATTGCATCTTAAATCAAAGATAGGCTATGAACAATTTTTAAAACCCTACTCCCCAACCAAATCAAATCACAATTAACAGCTCACATTAATAGTTAATGAGTACGAACAAACAACACAAAAATTATAGTAACTATTCATAGATAGAGTGTGAACAAACAATACCCAAATTACAAATAATTAGACCTGACTTGGTACCACTCCAGGCCACACCTCACGTGCAAGCGCGCGTGGGGATAGTGCTGGCCTGGGTTCAATTCGAGTTCCAGCCATTGAAACTCACTCAAACCATCATCAAACACACTCAAATTTACCCTGATTCTTTGGTCTACATAAGATCAAAATTAGACCCGTTGAACAATCAAATATAAGCACCATACAAAAGCAACAAAATGAACTTAGCTCCAAAATTTTAGTTAAACTTCATGTTTCTAAATCAACTGATCAAAATACTTCATTCTAGTCTAGATGTAAGCAACTAGATACAGAAACAATCAGCTTATAGCCAAGTAATTCAGCCTTATCTTCCTTTGCCTTAATTGCCCATACTAGTCTGCCTCGCCTTCCTTTGCATTCCCGGGATTCCTTCAAAAAATTAAAATAAAAAATAAGTAAGCAACAAAGTATAGAAATATTTATATGTTGGCAGTAAGCAACTTAAGCACAGTAAGCAAAAATATGAAAAAATAAATACTACACTAACCAATAAGTCAGCTACGTACCAATGAGCATATGCTTAATTAGGGTAATTACAAACTATAGCATGCTTTTATATAGAGACGATAAACTAAAGAAATTTAGAAATAGCTCAAGTACCCGCTTCTTTCAAATATATATATATATAAGAGTCTCTGATATGCCTTCCTGCTTAACTAAAATTTGAATGATGTGCTCTTGACTCTTTCATGTTGGCATATATATGTTAAAATTTCCACCTTTTTTACACTGAATTGCAGCCTCTGACCAAATTGACAAGGGTTTGCTCACCGGTATTTTACCATCCACAAAAAAGCTCATTGAACTTCTTTCCTGAGTTCAGAAACTGTTTTCAGTCTATTCGCAGACTCAAAAGAAGCCTGTAATGAATTACAACCCATCAAAGTAATGGGGTTATATGCAAAGTTCAATAATATTTTATTTTTTCCAATAACATAGTTCATCTGCTAACACATGTCATGTTAACTAGTTCGAAAATTCATGTATACACTAATTATTCCAGAGAGGAAAATTTTACTTCATATGCTCCTAGAACTAATATCATCTAAAATAGTTGTATGCTCTTCAACATATCCCCACAATAATTGTCCACACAAATCTTATTAGTATGGGTGGTCTCCATGAACACAAAATTCATGGCACAATATTAGAACACCCCTAATATGGGTAATAATTTTTTTGTTCAATATTAAATATTGAGTAACAGTGCTAAAACTGATCATAGCAGGCCTCTATACAATATAGATTAATTAAGAAACATACCAATATAAGGTCATAACGTATGGAGGACGGAGCACGTTTTATAGAAGTCTATTATCCTACAGACAAACAAAATGTTATCTAAGAGGCCCTCGGGGGCTTGGATGAGATGGTAGGGTGTTGGCCTGGGCTCAGCCCAGGTTCAAGCCTTGCCACCTCCTTTATAACCTGGTGCTATAATTGTAGGGCCCGTTATAGTATCTCCAATTTGGTACGTAGCGTTGGAATGGGGCCTGCCTAGGGGAGTTACGGGTCATAAAAAAAAATAATAATAATAATGTTATCTAAGAGAGCAATATCATAAACAGAAAAGAAAGGTACCCATTGATTGATTTGCCAAAATTGAACATAATCTTCAAAACATTATTTCTGGCCGTCGATATGGCACTGTGACAGTCGCCAATTTGATTCTTCAACAATTGAATAGCCTCCTGAAAAATCTTGAACTTTCTCCCTGATATTAGTTACAGTGGCTTTCAAATTCACTTCATAATCCAGTGCATCACCATCCATTGCATGCTCTAAGAGTGTCGTCATAAGAGACCTCAAACGACTCACATGATCCATAATGATCCCTAATTCATGAAACACAATTCCCCCATCATCTCTTATAGCACTAATTTCGAGCTCCGTTTTATACTTCTTCCAAACCTAGCTCATCCATGCCTCTGCAGATTTCAATGCCTCCGTCAAGGACTCCGTCAGTGCACCAACAACTGGTGAGAAAAATAGAAGCTAACGTTCAAATGATTTTCGAAACAGTTATCCAGGATTTTGATTTCTTTGTTTTTTTTGTCCAACTTTTTCTTTTTTCAATGATCAAAATTTGAAAGGATTACCTATCGCGTTGAAGTTTTCCAATGCCTTCAGAGTCCTGGGGTACTTTTGATCCACGCCCTCCATCCTAGATTCACTGTGTTCTCTCTCAAAGTGATTCAAAGCCACGGTGAGTTTGTGTTTAGCAGTTTCCAATTGAATAATGCAATTTTTTAGAGTGGTACAAAGTTGCAAAACCAAACTACTGTTTTCATCTTTCACCACTCTAGATAATACATTGTTTTTAAGAATATTATTCTTACTCTCAATAATGTGTTTGTTCTTTTTCATATAATAATCTGTGAAAGCCTTCAATGATTCCATAGAGAGTGTCGGAACCTTACCATCGTCGGAGATAGAAAATGAATCGACCACAGCATCAAACTCTCCAATGTCGTATTCATCTTTGACGGCAGCTTTGTATGAAGTAAGGCCGTGTTGTACCTTTACATCAGAGTCTAGGGCTAGCTTCTTGGTTTTGTCCAAGATTTGACCCATTCTTCAATTGAGATCAAATTGAGTATCAAATTGAGATCGGAGAGAAATAGAGGGCGAACTTGAAGGGAGAGAGAGGAGAGCGAAACTGAGGAAGGTACTGCAGATGTGATGGAAGAGAGGAGAGATAAAATGAGGATAGGAGAGAGAAGAGGGACGAAGAGTAAAAAGTCTTCATGAATTATGTAACCTAACCGTTTGATCAATCATCAATCATCTAGATCGAATGGATCTCGATTTTTAGATTTTTATATTATATTAATACGTAACTTCTGTATTTTAATTGGTAACTTATTGGATTTATTTTAATTGATAACTTATTTTATTATTTGTTAAATTACTTTATTATTTTATTTATAAATAATTTGAAACATCTTGAATAGTTCAAAATAGATTTTATTTTAATTATTAATTTATAGGATTTATTTTAATCGATAACTTATTTTATTGTTTGGTAAATTATTTAATTATTTTTTCAATAAATAATTTGAAATAAACAATTATCTATTTAATTTTCATTGGTAATTTATTTTATTATTTGGTAAATTATTTTAGTAAATAATTACCTATTTTATTTTAATAAATAAATTGTTGGTAATTTATTTTATTATTTGATAAATTATTTTATTAAATAATTACCTATTTTATTTTAATACGTAACTTTTTTATTTTAATTGTTAAATTATAGGATTTATTTTATTATTTGATAATTATTTTATTATTTTATCTATAAATGATTTGAAACATCTTAATTGGTGATTTATTAATCGTCATTTATTTTATCAAAATCTTTAAAATCATTAAATAAATCTTTCTATTAAACAATTACCTAATTTTAATTGTTAAATTATTTTATTATTTGGAAAAATTTAGATCTATATTTATATTTAGGAAAGATTTAGAAATAGAATAAAATAGAAAGAGTAAAGTTATTTTAACTTGGAAGAATTCCGAGAATAATAGGATTTATTTTAATTGGTAACTTGTAGGATTTATTTTAATTGGTAACTTATAGGATTATTTGGTAAATTATTTTATTATTTTATCTATATATGATTTGAAATATCTTGATTGAATTTCAATTAATCAATTACCTATTTAATTTTAATATATAATTTATTTCTTGATTGAATTTCAAATAAACAATTACCTATTTAATTTTAATTGGTAATTTATTTAATAATTTGAAACATCTTGAATTCATTTCAATTAAAACAGTTACCTTTTAATTTTAATTGGTAATTTATTTTATCATTTAGTAAATTATTTTATTAAATAATTACCTATTTTATTTAATAAGTAACTTGTTTTAATTATTTTAATAATGATTTGAAACTTCATGATTGAATTTCAGTTAAACAATTACATATTTAATTTTGATTGGTAATTTATTTTATTATTTGAAAAATTACTTTATTAAATTGAATTTCAATTAAACAATTTCCACATTAAAATTAAAATTTGTGCTCGGGAAAATTACAGACTAATTGGAGCTGAAAAGGAAGACCCAAAATTTTGTAAACAATAGATAATCGAATTTTTTTTACCCTCATATACGAATGTATCAAAAGGGTCAAATAAATCCGGCATCAGATTCAGATAAAAAATATAATGGGTATAAATGGGTTGAGTTTTAGCCCCACGTAATAGCTTAAGTTTTTGGGTCGGATCGCGAAACACTAACCTGTTATAGTTGATACTAGACTTAGTCCTTGATCCAGTGTTAAGCCAAGTGCTCGGTCCGGAAGAGTCCGGATGTGTCTCTCCAGGTAGACAGAGTGGCCTGATCACAATAAGGGCATTGCAGTTCAGGTGGGAGAGAATGTTACAAGTAAAACTTGTCCCACATTGGATACGGATGAAAAATGTAATGAGTATTAAGAGTTATGGGTATAAATGAGTTAGCCGCACTTAATGACTTAAATTTTTTTGTCGAATCGCGAAGCACTTCATCAGTTACACATAGCCGCTAATCCATTTGTGTTTATAATTTCTATATATTTTCTACTACAAGAGGAGGGTGGATGGTTGATGGGAAGGAGTGTGTTTGTTTCCAAGGAAAATAAAAGCTGCAAATGTGGAAAAAGATTGCAAATTTAAAAATGGTAAATGGGTCAAAGGCGGAGTAAATCAAGGGAGTAGGACCAATGAGTAGATCAATTTGATGTTTTCAACCATGGGTTAGTCGGGCTGGTATGATTTCTCTTTTTGAAAATGAAGATTAGGCCATAAGCTTATCAGGTTCGGGACTCGGATACATTCCGAACCAATGTATGATTCAACTAGAGCAAATTTATCCTGAACTTTTAATATACCAAAACAAAAAAAGGATCTTGATGTGGTAGATCTCTGAAAAAAAAAATAAAAAAATAAAAATAAAAATAAAAAATCTTGTAGCAGATGGTGGAGGAAGTTCTATCTCAAGGGTCTAAATCAGTCTCTCTCCGAAACGATTGTTTTTTATGACGCACTGAGCTACCATCCTAACATAGCCGATCAGATCCATTGCCATGAACAATTTCTCAACCCTATAAGCTTTGTAAGGTAGGTATGCAGGCTATTTAAATTATGTTAATTAATTAATTCATTGCTAATTCATGTTAGCTCATATATTGGTGCATAGGCATGTCTGCATATTTATGAATTTTTTGGGCTCTTATATGGGCCCATGCATAAAAAGAGGAATATTTCCCTACTCCAGTACATGCCTACTACGTACCCAACTCACAACAGATGATCTTAATGTTCAGATTAATAATTTGAGTTCCTTGGAAGTGATTATATTATCTTGTTTCATCGATATATAAATTGCATTTGCTTACAAATTCAGAATTAACCTACGTGTGTCTATTATAGACACAGATGCATTTCTGTTTTTACTAAGAAACAGATGTGTGCAGTGAATTAATTAAGCTTGAGAATGATATCTTAGTAGGGTTTCCTGAAATTTTATTTCACTGTTTGTTACGAGTTGAATTTGTTTAAATATATACAGCAATTGTCTCATCATTCCTATGAGACAAAGAGGATTTATCTAAAGTAGGTCGAATCTATCTCATAAAGAACATCAATTCTTTTGTTCTGATTCTTTTATTTTTGCTGATTGACCCACACTGTCCAGGTCGAATCTAAGTCCTGAAGATGGGATCAAATCTCATTCACATTGCTATTTATTATCTTTTAAACAAATGACAAAGGCTTTTGAATCCGAAAATTCAATATATATATATATATATATATATATAAATGAGTTACTGGCCTCGCATGTCAACAAATAATTTTTACATATCCGTTTGGCAACCGTTTCCAAATGGACTGCTATAAATGGTTTCAAAGAGTCACCTTGACCCTCCTGGTATGGATTATGCGTACTTTATATTTCATCTTCTTCGTTAAGATGAAGATTGTCCTTGCTACTCTCAAAAATTGATTGTTCCTGTTACGTATAGTACGTCTGGAGTTGCCTTCCAATATATTAATTTAGTTATTATTTCATCAACTAGTATATCAGAGCATATCTCTGGTGTCCAATTCCTAATTGAACTCTATCTTCTCGGCCTTTCATGGCCTAGGCAGTTGAAAACTCTCAATTAGTCCTCCTGCACCAAAAACAAACTCCTTTGCTCCCCTGAATCTTGTATCCCAGTGGACACAAATAATTCAATGGGTATGGTTGCTGAACCATACCACATGGAGAAAATTTGCTTTTTGATTCCCAGAAGGAGGTCTCCACCGTAAAGATATATCTATTCCCTCTCAATCCATTAATGACTTAGGTGCTATATTACACTGGACGACACAAAATTAGTGCCTAATTTTCCTTCCCGAAAACTTGGCAATATGTAGACTGCACAAAACAGAAAGTCGTGCAAATACAAAGCACATCTTCAATGAAAAAAAAAAGGGGTCATTTTTGTGTTTTTTGGGACTCTTTACAACAGTTTTCTGCTAGCACTTCATCCCCAATCTAGCTCAAGATATAGGAGAACTTAAATTTTGTAAATTCCTTGATCTTTTCAATTTCATTGGTTGAGGTTGAGTCCATTGAGGGGACTTATAAAACAATGGCCACCAACACTCTTTTCCTTCTTGATGTATATTTCAAGACTTCTTTTATCAGTGACCGATGCTACTGTAAATCCAATTTTGGATTCATATAAAAGTCATTTAGGTCATTCTAGAGTGTCCAAATTAACTTTTTACATCAAGAACATCATACCAGTATAAAACTCGCTTGAGATTATTGCTTTTACATAAAGGCAAAAATTGGACTTCATATTGACCATTGTTGTCGGATCACACATTGGATGTTGCCTCTAACAGGGTCTAGATCTATAAGGTTAATGATGGAGGCTTTGGACTCCAATCAGGTTTTCTTTCTTCCAGATTCTTTGCCTTTTGCATAAAATATTTCAAATGCTGATGATCATAAATATTCTAGATAAAGATGTTGAAAATTGTAGAAGTCCAAATTGTCCAGTCATTATAATCATATGCTTTTATAATGTTATGGTACAAATTAGTCTCTCCTTTTCAGAGAAGACTTACTGTGGAAATCAAGTCATGGAAAGAGTTCTTTGGATTTGAGTATTTGAAATTGATCAACTTTATCCAAAATAATTTTGGTTTGCTTATGTACTCGTATCATATGGCCCTTTAAAAACCATATTTTATTTATGAGAGACATGTTGGAAATAGTGGCTTAGTTACACACACAACACTATACTATTTGGAAGAGAATAGAAATGGAGGAAAATATTTCTTATTTCACTTGATGGAAAATGAGTACAATGCATGGGTTTATATAGGCTTCAAAACATAAATGTAAATGAAACTTAAAACCCCACTAACATATCATTTAGTAGGCAAAACTCCCACTAACCCACTAACATGACCATTTAGTAGGCAAAACTCCCACTAACCCACTAACATGACCATTTACTAGTTGTAACTCTCATGCCCCCCACTAACTCCAATAAAAAACTCACATAAATGTAAAACAC